TGGTGTTTGTAGGAACACTTTAGTAATCACAGGATGAATGGGCGATAAACAATCAATAAAACAATGATTTCGATGATAAACTATTGAGTAATTTTAAATACGGTTTGTAGTCAGTGGGTTCTAAAGTTACCATCGCGACTAGCAATAATCATAGGAAAATGCCATCAGATAAAAAACGACTTTACTCACTGATTGAGTCTGATTTTCATCCTCCATGCTGAAATCTCTCCGCTCTGTGTTCGAAATCTCCCTTAGGTGGTGGTAGCTTTTTTTAATGCCTGATCAAAAGCTACTTGCGAACCTGATACTACTACTACTAATAACAACAACAACAGAACACATTACATAATTGTTTTTCTTAAATAAAAAAAAAGAGTACCCATTAAAATGTCTTTACATCAAGGACCCGATCATGGAAACAATGCACAGTACAAGCGCAGCGTTGAGCTTCTTGAGTCTGTTCAGTAAGGAGCGTTTTGATCGGTGGATTAAAAGCTCACCACGATTGGCTGAACAGAACATCCTCCAAAAAAATATATTTATGAATCTTAACCTGTCAGGAAGGTCTCGAAAATAGCGCACACAAATTCAAAGCAGTCCACGCACGCGTGACAATTTGCAAATGCAGATTCAATGATCCATAAATACATGTAACATCATTCATAAATGTGTGATGGAAAAATTAATTCAAGAACTTGATATATACATATTTGTGTAAACCTTTTCAATTTATTTAGGTAAGATGCATTTGTTGTGAGCATTTGGAGAAATATTTATGCTTTTACTTGTGTATTTATGAATTGTGTTTTGAATTTACGAATCGGATTTTGTAAATGTAAATTGTGCTGTGCATTTATGAATTTTGTTTTGTAAATGTATTATTTTTGAGGCTGATCTGGCTCTATAGTTACACTCTTGACCTTCTCTTCAGACCTCATACACACACAAACAACCAGGCACATAAATACACACACAAACACGCACTCAGATTAGTGGAGTTAATTAAATAACTGCCAAATGAGCTAAACTGCCACCCATCAAATTACTACTACAAACTTACCTAACAAAACGAAATGAACAACTGTATATCTCCATTAGATTATAAATGCCAAAATAAGTTTATCGTCGGAACGAACTGTGTACTTGCACTTTAGCCTTTACCACCAAACGTTTGACTGACAGATGTTCTCAAATTATAAATGTTGATTGTCATGTACTGGTCTTTTACTTCTAATAAGTTAATGAATTGAAAATAACTGACAACTGAAATACCAAGGTCCAATTAACAAACAGAATTTTTCCAATGCATGATGTGCCATGTGCAAATTAAAAGCAGATTATGTTGAAGGAAGGAACAACGCAAAAATATATAAAAAAAAACAACCAGCTATTTATTTATTTTATCCATTTATTATTTTATATATAGCCAATTGTATATACAGTATATATATATATATATATATATATATATATAAACACGTGCAATGATGTCTCTGAATTGGCTGAAAATGATAGGCAGAATGAAAAACTAAATTTGTTATTCAGATTCCCAACAAATTACACAGAACCAAGCAACACCGCAGTATTAGATCTGTCCCATTATAATCACTGAAGCTGTCACTCATATGACTGTTTGATCCCTGCAGTTCTCCTACGAATGCTCCCATTATAATCTACATTAATATAATAAAATAAATCTCTTATTTACACCTTGTCTATGCCTTGTTGATTATAATGGGAGTGTTCTAGTTTTGTCATGACGCTCGCTTGCAGTGTGCATTGGGTGTTACACAGAGAGCCATGACATCTAGTGATATATTTCCACTAGTTACTTTAAACATATCTGATTTGCCATTGTCACAATATATGGCGCATCCCACTGTATATAATGGCAATTTTTACAATGGTGCATGCAATGAACTCCTATGATGTAACGGTGTGTGTTTGAAACCAAATATATCATCACAAATTTAGCCTAGGCCAGAGGCTAAATAGTTCTGATGAGCTTTAGATGCACTGAAATGGAAAGATGCAGGGATAAACGGATGGATGGATGAATGAATTGAAAGATAAAAGCTGGCAGAGGACAGGGGGTTGGCTTTAATCGGCAGGGCTAACTGGGACATTGCGGTTAAAACTCTGTAAATCCACTTTTTCTGATCAAGTAGGATTATTGTGGCCACCACTCGACTTAAAGTGTGTCATGGAGTGCTCACTTCACTTCAAACAAACACAGAGCCTGGAAACACAACCTAATAAGTGTGTCAGCTTGCAAACATATCATATAAATGCCATGCCTCACTTTAACCTATCCTCATAGCATCTGCCAGGATGTCAACATGTTACACTGTAAAAAAAATTGTAAAAAAAACCCACAGAAAAACTGTAAACACATTCACAGTAAAAACTGTACATTTTACAGTATAAAACTGTAGTTTACAAACAACTAAACAACAAAAATTTGAATGTAAACCAGTAAATTAAATAATGCACACTTCTACTAAAATCTGTTTTGTACCTTTAACATATACTGATAACCATCATAATAATGCATGTGATAAAAGAGAAAGCCAGCAAAAAGTAAGTAGCAATTCCACAAGCAGAAATATTTACTAATATACAGAAGCTGCATTCACGCAAACACAAAACACCAACACGGTAACACATGACACTTACATAATGCAATAAACATTAATTGAACAACAGAAAATGTAACGAAAAAACTCAAATGTACATAACAAAAACTATTAAGAAACATGATTATTTAAACAAAATATTTTCAAATGTGGAGTTTCACACAAGGAATTCTGGGAGTTTACAACTTTTGACTGATTTGTTCTTTTTTACTTCTAAAAACTGTACAATTAACAGTATGTTACTGTAAAATTACATGAAATGTCTGGTTTTTCCCTGTATATGATACAGGAACGTACTGTTAACCTATTTACAGTTTTTTTCGTAGAGTTTTTATAACATTTTCCAGTTAAAATTGAATTTTTTACAGTGTAGGTGGTTTCAGATCCACACAAAAATGTACCCTATATTCTTGATGATATTGCATTAAAGTAAATGTTTCGTATGGCAGGAAAACATATCTATCAATAGCACCTTTTAGAAATGTGTAATAAGCAAGACACAAGAAACTGGTCAATAAACTGGCTTTTGCACAGCGATTGCTCATTATATATACCTACTGTAAGCATCCCCATCCTAAACCTAGGTTTCATTCATTATAGCACAATGGAAACATAACACTTCTAAAATGTACACTTAAAATACATGCAAAAGTCTAGGGTCATAAAATCATTCCAGTAAGGTTGCATTAAATAGATTTTTATATTACAACAAAACTCAAATGTACATAACAAAAACTATTAAGAAACATGATTATTTAAACAAAATATTTTCAAATGTGGAGTTTCACACAAGGAATTCTGGGAGTTTACAACTTTTGACTGATTTGTTCTTTTTTACTTCTAAAAACTGTACAATTAACAGTATGTTACTGTAAAATTACATGAAATGTCTGGTTTTTCCCTGTATATGATACAGGAACGTACTGTTAACCTATTTACAGTTTTTTCGTAGAGTTTTTATAACCTACTGTAAGCATCCCCATCCTAAACCTAGGTTTCATTCATTATAGCACAATGGAAACATAACACTTCTAAAAATGTACACTTAAAATACATGCAAAAGTCTAGGGTCATAAAATCATTCCAGTAAGGTTGCATTAAATAGATTTTTATATTACAACTGATTTCTATTTTAAATAAATACTGTTCTCTTTAACCTGTATATATAATATA